AGGGAAACCCTGTCATGAAATCCCCCCCCCCAACAAAAATCTGTCCCAAATATAACATTTGGTGGCATTATTGTACTTGATATTCAAATATGAACTACAAAGACACTAGAATTTGGGCATTTCAGAAATTTCACGTCAGAAAAAGAAAGAAGAACCCAACTGTTATCACTATAGTTGTGACGGCTAGTCTTCGGAGTCAACGTGTCTGGATTAGCTAAGTAATTAAATTAACTCAAGCAGCTGAGTACATCTGTAAGGAACCTCTCCTTAATTCAATCATTTGAAGTGTGAAGTGTCGGGGTCCGGTGCTAGCCCAGACCCTCAATTATTTCTCTAGACCAGACCCCAACATGAACTATCTTTCTCTGGATCAGCGTGGAGTCACAGATATAAAGACACAACTCACATGGCTTTATTGGGAGGGAGATTCTCAGTGGTCCCTCATGAAGTCCTGAGTTCACATCCTGAAGAATTTCTTTCATTTATTCTCCAGTCTTTATACCAAAACTTAACTGAGGGGAAATATATTAGCATTCTGTCTCCTAGGTAACCAGGTGAATGGCTTTTTGTCATGTCCACATCTACCTATCTGCTCTGTGTGCTAGCTGTCAGGTAGGCTTGAATTAACATCTCTACCAGGCATCCTCTAAATTACAAAGGAGCAACATCATCCTGACATTTTGTTAGGTAGTGATGGCCTATCTGGTAGGCTATGTGACCACCTCAGGTGAGGCCTATGGTTTTTGAGCCTGGTTGCCACACCATATAGAAATCTGGGCCTACAGCGAAGACCCACTTTTAATCCAGATCTTCTAAAGAGGAAAGATCCACCTTTAATCTGTGCTACACTTTCCACTGGCAGCCTACATGAAGGACATGGGAGAAGGAAGCTTGCCCTCTTTGCCTGCTTGCTCTCAATCTCACCGACAAGTCCGTTCCTTCACTGGCATTAGAGCCCACTTCTAGGCATATACTGAAAACCAGCTGGGACATCCATCCTTACAGACTGACAACAGCTGGATGCTTGGCCCTTTCTTGGGAGACAGCTATTGTTGGGACTAGCTGGACCACAGCCTGTAAACAATTCCAACAAATCCCCTTCCTAGAAATTCTGCTCCTACAGAGAACCCTGACTAATACAAAAGTGGGCACAGGAAGGGTTCTTCACGAAGTCAGTAGCTAGGGAAATGTAAGTTAAAACTGAAATTAGAGATCTCCACACTGACCAGGATGAGAAAATGGAGGTTTTTGTCAGGAGTTTTTGTGAGGTGCAGAGCAATGGTGCCCACATGTAGCCAATGTGACTGCACCATGTTAGAAGAGTGACATTCTTTATTCATGTTTATATACACACTCTCAAGTACAGATTACACAGAAACTGGCGGAGATGAGATGGAATACAGATTTAAGGAATTATTTCCATCAACAACAAAACGGCTAAACAAACTGTTACATATCGTTACAACAGAGAATTGTATATGCAGCAATTAAAAAAACAAATTATAGCTATATGAACAACCTGAACAAGATATGGATTACAGCACAGTTGAGTCAATATGGTAAGCAAAACAGATTACATATTATCTCATTTATATACCATTCACAAGAGAGGGGGGGAAACTAAACAATGTAACGCTTGGGGATGAACACCTGTGATAAAACAATAAAGAAAAGCAAGGAAACGATTACCACAAAGGTCTGAAAAATAGTAACTTCCAGGAGGGAAAGTTGTGTTTAGAAAGGTCATTAGTGGCTTTTGAAGGATTAGCAAAACCCCACTGATTGACCTGGATGACTTCTTACAGGGTAGTTTCTTTGATAATTACTCATAGCACACAACTGCCCTATATGTTTAAAATCCATTTCACAAAAATGTTTAAAATGAACTGATATACTATAGTGGCATTTTTAGAAATTTTTTTCAGATAAACTAGGTCATATAATCTTTGACTGTGGAAATCACTGACATGGAATAATAAAACATCAATTAGTTTCTCATACAAGCCCACTTTCAAGGGAGAAGTTACAAAACCTCTACAGAAAGTCCTTTGTCATACTTTAACCCAGCATGTAGATCTTCATGATAAACTGGTGAGCCAGGAAAAGAACCCTGCTAGCTGAAATAAGTTTTTGATCCTGATTTACGTGTTGGGAAATCTGATTTAACTGATGCATTTCTCCTCTTGATGAACAGGCAGTCTGTGGAGCTGCGAGGATATAGAACAAGCTGGAGATGTAAGAATTCCTCCTCTCCAGCAGTTGTATAAGCAGCTCTGTTCTCCTGTTACCAGGCTGGGAGGGGAGGGGAACGGATCTCATTCCCTAAGCTTAGTGGAGCTAGTATTCCTAAGGAGGTGGCTCTTCTGAGTGCCGTTCTGTCCTTAGGAATGAGGTTCTGAAGTGGAACCTTTGGCAACGAAACAGATCGGGCCTCTGACCACTGCGTGGTGCACAATTTCCTGGAAGCTTATTCTCATTTGTAGAGCTCTGATGTTTGTACTCTTTTCATTCAGAGTCCACAAAGTTAAACTCCTCTAAACTTATATTGTATTTCTTTAATTTCTGCTGTTGCCACGTCCGGCTATTGCTTATTGATCGGATTCTCTGTGAGTCTTAGTTGGAAAAGGCAAGTGAATGGAACATGTTTGTAGACTGCCAAACCCAGCGCAGGGAGGGTGAGATATTTGACTCCTGGGATTTCAGGTGGAGTACAGACATCGGGTCCCTGCGCAACTTGTGAGTCTGTCCTCACCTTTGTGGCTTCCTCCTCCCTCATTTACTCACTTTTTTTTTTTTTTGCAGCCTTCGAACAAAAATGAACCCCTGATTTATTACTGTAGACATTTCTTTGATCAAATGTTTGCATGTGGTGGTGGCAGCAGTGGCAAACCTGGGCTTCCCAAATATGTGGATAGTGTATTTAGCCCAATCTTCCCAAGCGAGGCTGAAAGACGTAAAGTGCTTAAGATATCCATCACTGCAGCTTCCAGAGGAGGGACAGGGTGTCGCGATCCAGCCGCGCAACTGTGGAATTTGTTTCCCTTCACCTTTGCTGCTGCTTTAATCTCATTCTCACACCACTAACAAGGGCAGGTTCAAGACATATTCCTGAGGATTGTGGTCCTCTTATTTTGAAAATTCTTTTACTGGAGAACCACGACTTAAATTTTACTAAAACTTATTTCCTAGAACTGAATCTGTAGGACAAACAGCTCAATCTATTTATTAATAACAGAAGGGGGGGGGAGAGGGAGGGATAGACGGAGAGAGAACGCACGCGCAGAGGATACACTTGAGTTAAGTCTCCAGACGTGGGCCAAAAATTTTTAAAGATAGTAAGAGCCACTGTGATGAACAAGATTAGCGCTCAAAAAAAAAAAAAATCCAAGAGACAAGCAAGAATGGCTGCTAAAAGTCATTCTATTAAGACTACATCCGCCCCCCCCCCCACCGAGAACGTAGGAATCCCCTCTATAATAACCCAGAGTTGGTTCGCTTTCAGTCCTCTGCTCCCCAACCCCGGCAATCCTCCTCCTTTCCCACCCACAAAAGCCTCAAGTTGCGACTCCCTCCGTGAAGCCGCATCCCTTTCCTTTCACGGCTAGAGGGTGGGGGAGTGTATTACAACTCTCAGGCTTCCACGCTGCGATGTACAAAAACACTTGCACTTCCCCCGTCGTCGCCGAGTTCCGGGACTGCGGTGCGAGAGGCATTCATTCATTCGCTCATTTTCCCCCCATCAAAACCTTCGCACCGCACCAGCACCCCACGCCGCGGGAAGGGTGGGGCGCTTGCTCCCGGGAGCAGGTGCAGCCACAGGGCTGGAGGTCAACTCTTCCACCCGTCTCGCCGTTCGAGAGCCAGCTCCGGGCCAAAATGCCTCACCTTCGGGGTGGTGCGCGCCCGAGTCCGGCCCTGGGGCCTGCGCCTCCTCCTCGTTTCCAGAGGAGCAGTCCGCACCTGCCCCGGAGGGAACGGCGACGGCGCTCGCTCTCCGCACCGCCCTCGGGTCAGGGGTAAGATCAGGCGGTAGCTTAGGCTTCGCCCGGGCTCCTCCCCTTCCTCTCTTTACTTCTGACGCGGCCGTAGAGACGGCGGCGGCGGCAGCGGCAGCAGCAGTCCCGCGGCCCGAGGCGCACCCACCCGCTTGTGGATCTCGACTTCCTCTTCCCTTGCTCCGTCATCAGCGTGCGCCGCCGCCTCTCAGGGCGGGGTGCCTGGAGCGGGGGAGAAAAGGCCGGCGGAGGAAAGGGAAGGGAGGGGGGAGGAGAGCGGTTGCTAGGCGACTTGCGTCATCGCCGGGCGCCGCTCTCCTCCCGCCCCTCTCTGGAGTGAGGCGAGAGCCCCGCACAGAGCGAGGGAGACAGCGAGCTGAGCTCCGGGCGCTGCTGCTGCCGCCGCCGCCGCCGGTGAGAGAGAGAGCGTGAGAAGCGAGTGAGCGAGCGAGCATCCAAGAGACCGAGCACCCGTGCACTGGCCGCCGCCGAGACCTTCGCCTCAGTCCGGGCCAGCGGGAGCCGCGGCCGCCGTCTGCTCCCCCCCTTACCTTCCCGGCCGGCAGCGGCTGCTGCACAAGCCGGAGCCGGAGCCCCAG